TTTCCCCTAAAATCCCTAGAGTTTATTTATTGGATAGTGGCAATATCAGTTACTGATGGGTGAAACTCTTGTGGCTGCTGTGTTGAAGCAGCATGTGATTTCAAAGTATTTGCATCATATTGTCTTTAAGGAAATGTTTTGGCCTAGTTTTAAAGGTAGGTACCTGTGTCAAATATACTGTACAGCAGCTACTGATCTCAGTGGCGAGGGGCAGGCTTCTACTGTTTTGGAAATATTCAGATAGATTCATTTGATTTGATTGATTTTTACCATAAATAAATGCAGAAAATACAACAAAAAGAAATTATTTGAATTATAAAAACATGAATTCACTTATTTATACAAACCTAGTCACAAAATTAGCTGTTGCATACACAACTTTCATACTAATTCTGTGAGAATTACTGATCATAGTATGAAGGAAATTAACTTAAGTCTCCATTTCACAAATTTCTATTGTCCAACAAAGGCAGCTCACTTTAGTTTCACAATCACAATTTCATTTATAACCAACAAAACCAGTTAGTTCAAAGAGCTGATATTGTTAGTAAAACCTTTTTCAGTTAAGGTGCATAATAAAAAAAATTAACAACCTAAATTTAGTTACTGGTGCACCAAATATTCTTAATGTTAAATGCAGTTAAGATACATAATCTTTTTATTTGTATTTCAAACCTATACATGTACACTATTTGTAATGCTTGTATAATAATGATATTTATTCATTTCAAGTGGAATTATATGTTTTCTTGGATATAGGCCTAATATAGAGATTTTTTGATTGCTGATTTAACCACTCTAGGATACAAATGCCAACCTGCTCTTTCCATTTGAATTTTAACAATAAAAACACAGTGTGGTACAGCTGTTATTCAAACCCGCCCTGTCATTTTCCTGCCTGGAAAAGAATACATTTTGCTGGTACTATCACTCACTGATGCTGTCACAGCGTCTTTACTGACCTGTATTTAAAACCCGCAGCTCAGTGCTACATGTACTTCTCATGGGAAAGTCCAAATTCATTGGACATGTAGGAAAAGGTTCCATAAACTGCTGTAAAATGCTGTAAACTTCTGTAAAATGAATAACTGCTGAATGGATAATTAGCCTACACAGAATTTGCTTTTGATGTAAATTCCGCCTAAGATTTATTTTGAAAGCTGGTCTTATTTTGAAATGATCTCCCTGTGACATCCTGGATATTACTTAAATTTGGTAAAGCCTTTAAGTTTGTAACAGTTTGTAAATGGTGTTTACCAGCAGATACAGAGGCTGTTATGTGTGCCTCCAGGTTATGACTATTGGGTTTAAGTCTGGAGGTCAAAGACACACACACACACACACACACACACACGTAGATACAGTAGAGTCAGAGAGCACTGCACATGTCTGGCTGTGTTCCAGAGTTTGGGTCTTAGCCAGAGCTTACTGCCTGACACACTGAACTGACAGCTGGCCCGACAAACACACCAAAACACACTTGCTCACACACAGTCTGAACTGTGAACTCTTCTAAAGCATTTTACTTGAAGGCACTGGTTATTCACATTTCAAAGCAAGCAATCCTTCCCATGCATCTCTTCCTCTTCTCTGGTTTCTGATGTAGTAGAAGCCAATTATAGCAGAGTCGCTGTTTTTGGTTAAATTACAAGTTGGATGGCTTTGCTGGAAGCTCTGTGGTCAGTTAAAGTCTATTAAAGTGAACCTGCATTAGTGCCAAGCTAACCATCTCTCTAAACTGTATGCAGTTTAAATGTTGAGCTTAGACTCTTCCTTTACTCTTTCTTTCCTCCTTTCCTGTCTTTCTACTTCAGTTTGTTCCTTTTTTGCCTAATTAATTAATTCCTTCCATAAATCCCTCACTCATTTCCTTCCTTCCTACCTCCTCCTCTATACTATTTTCTTCAAGGGATGATGATAATGTGTGTTTTCTTGGTGTGATATTTAGTCCAGAGTTGTTTGTGTGCATGCACAGAAGCTGGATGATTACTGAGTCACTGCTCCGTCTGAATGTAATCCTGTGATATCTGCAGCCATGCCCAGTGCCTTAGTGGCCTTATTAGTGTGTGTGTGTGTGT